CTCGCGAAGTCTGTTTTACGTCCCCCATCCAGCTCTCCCTCCCTCTCTCCCCGACAGGTGGGACCCGTGGACCCCACCTGTCATCCCCTTCCTCCAGCTCCAACTGCCGCCATGGCCGCCCGAGCCGCCCCACGACGCGGCCGTTTCCGCCCACCTCCTCCACCCCCCGCGCGCGCGCTCGTCCGTGGGACCTCGCCGCCCACGTCCGCGCCGTTTTCCCCCACCTCTCCCCTCCAAAACCGCCACCCACACCCCACGATGCCGCCCACGCCACCGGCGGTTGCCGCCCCGACTCCGCCTCTCCCGGGCTCGATCCCGCCTCCCCTCCCCTATAAAAACAATCCCCGGCCTTCCCTCATCCATTTCCCCCATTTTTCCCAAGCCGCCGCGCCCTCCCTCGCTCTCCCCGCGCCGAGCCCACGCACCGCCGCTCTCCGGCGAACTCCAGCAGCGCCGCGCCGCCGCTCCCGTCCACCCCGCACTGCGCCGTCGCCCTCCCCGGCACCGCAGCCGCCGTGCACACCCCGTCCACCGCTCCGTCCTCTCCTTCCACCCCCGCAGCACCATTCCCACAGTGCAAGCCAAAACCACCGCCATTCACCGCCTCCAGCCGCCTGCTACTGCCGCCCTAGGGCTTGCCGCGTCGTGCCGTTTGTGTCGTCGGCATCACTGTGCCGAGCTCTACCCCGGCCCCTAGTCCTTTTCCCCTCCCCAACTCCGAAACACCGCCACCACGTGCACCACCTCTCTCCGCCGTCGCCGCTCCCGCACCCTGCCACCACCGCAGCCGGCTTCGCCGCCGCGAGGACAAGCCTGTCGGCCGCTCCCCTCCCCAACCGACCGCCAAGCTGTCACCTCCACTGCCAACCCGAGGCCGCCGCCGCTTTCGCCGCCCCGGCCACCGTTTACCGCCGCTCCTGGCCGTCCCGAGCCGCACCCGTGGCCATCCTCAGCGTCGCCGCGCCTCGGTCGCCGCCCCTCGCCGCCGAAATTCCACGGGAGCCCGCTTTTCCCCGTTCAAGGTCCCGGAGGCCCCCGGCCGTCACTCGTCGCCCGTCGGCCGCCGTTGGGGCGCCGCCGTCGTCCTCGCCCGGGGAGCGCCGCCGCTACCTCGCCTCCGTCCGGTGCCGTGCCGCTTGGTGAGCATCCCCCTTCCTCCTCTCCTTTCCGCCGCCCTTCGCGCGCCTTCTCGCGCCGCCGCTCGCCGCCGGTGGCCGTGCGCCGCCGTGCGTCGTGTCTCGGCCGGGCCGGCTCTGAGCCGTGCCCGTGCTCTGGGCGCCCTGCCTCGTGGCCGCCCGATCAGCTCGAGCTGATCTGGGCCGTCGGTTCCTGCGGACCGGCGGTGGACCACCCCGTGGTCCCGGTCCACGGTGGACCGATTCCCTTGACCCGCTGGCGTGTGGGGCCCGCCTGTCGGCGCCGGCCTCTTTGATGACGTCAGCACTTAAGCTTTTCCTTTGTAAAAATAAATAATAATTGCGCAATAAATCGAGTTTAATTCTAGAAATTCATTTAAATGGCTCAAAACTTCTAAAATTCATATCTAATTCATTCGAACTCCGAATTGAGCCATTCAACTTGCAAAATTCATCTAAAATTGAGCTCTACATGTTTGTTTAGTTTTTATGTACTATTTTCTTGGTTTTTATTAGAGTTTTTCCTCGTTTTGCGTGCCAGCGTGTAGTTCCCGTCGTTTCGGAAGATCGCGTTCGCAAGGATAAGAGTTCAGAAGATCCAAGTGAAGAAGCAAGGCAAGTCACACATTCCCCTTGAGCATGTTGATCCCAATTTACAAATGTTTTACTGTTTGCAAATAAATATGCATGTTTTGCTAATTACATGGGGTCAGGGTTTTACCTATCTGCTCGCTTGTGTCATGTTTACTTGATATCTGTCCTTTGTCAACCATGGGTAATAAATCGCCTAGCTGGTGTTACTTTGATGACCTAGCTAGAACTATATGCTTAGCCATGCTTAATTACCACTAGCTCAGTCGATGGGATAATTGCAGTATTAGACATTCTAGTATCTTGTTGAGCTGCGTGCTCGAGACATCTGGCCATGCTTCATGGTCGTAATTATCCAACTAAAATGCGACTGAATGGTGGGCTGTGGGTGCATGGTTTTGCTGGTCGCACCCATGGCAGTTAAGGACCGATTCGCGGGATGCCCTGGAAGAACTTATCGTACTTACCACAAGCCAGCGCGGGCAACGGCTGGGCTTGTAGTGTAGCTTTCCTCTAGTCGACGCATCCAGGCAAGGGTGGGCGTGATGGAGCGGGGCGGGCCCTGCGACGGCCTCTGTCGCTTCCGGATTCACCTAGGCACGAGAGGGGACTGCCCGTTGCCCGCTGGGGACGGGGGTGAAACCTGAGGTGTGGTGTGCTTGGCTAGAGGGGGTTATGCGAAGGGTCCTGTCACGGCCTCTTTCCGGTATGTCGTGGTGGCATGTCGGCGCACGGAAACGTGTCGTGGGGCTGTGTCTTGTGGGTACAGTTGTACACCTCTGATCAGAGTAAAACTATTCGAATAGCCGTGCCCGCGGTTATGGGCGGTCGACTAGATTCACCGTGATTAGTCTCACACTTAATAAATCGACCCAATACACTGTAGTTTAGGTGGGTTGGTTGGGCCTGTTCAACGTGGTGTAGCGTTGATCAGTGGAGATTTAATGTTACTTTAATTACTCAACAGTTTTACTGTTTTGCTCAATAAAATGTTTTACAACCGCCTTTATGCAAATAGCCACAAACCATCCTTGTATCCCCTTGCACGTCTGCATCGTTGGTGTGGCTTGCTGAGTACGGTGGTTGTACTCAGCCTTGCTATTATTCCCCCTTTTCAGAAGTGTAGTGCTTCTGAGCTGAAGATGGAGTTAGAGGACCAAGGCTCAGACCCCAGTTGAGTTTGGCCTGTGGAGTGGAGCTGAAGCCCCGCTAGGATCGTTTTTTTTTCCGCTGCTGCTGCTTTTGTTTCGGTGTGAGGACTAAGTGCCTCTTCTGTAAGTATTTTACGCTTATTTTACGTTTGGAACTGTATATTACTTGTCGTTTTGTGTACCCTGGCTGGTCCTGGACAGGGATTTAATACGCAAAATAGTCTGGAAATTTGGGTTAAATTTCTGGGCGTGACACTAGGTCACCACGTACAGTGGGTTAGGTGTCCGCCTCCAGGTGCCCACCTACCCGCATTTATGGCGTCCCGAGCGGTCGCGCCACGCCGCGTTTAATGCGGTGTGCAGTGCACTCAACCGGTCTGTGACCGGTCGAATGACTGATGGGACCCTTGATGTCAGGCGCACCATCGCGTGTGTCAGGCGGCGTGCAGCCCGACATATCCCATCAAATAATGATGGTGAGAGGTTCTCATCCTCTTATCCCAGCCGGATTCGGTCCTCCCGCTCTGGTCAAAGCAAGGCTCCCGTTTCCCGGTGTAATAGGAGACCAGAAGTCTTCACCCGTTAAATGGTGACTGACAGGGGCACCCCCGTGTCAGGCGGCAAGATTTGACAGGCCCCATCATCAAGACGACGTGTGCTTGGCTTCCCAAGTCAAGAGATAAGACATGCATTTAATGTAAAGATTATAATACTTCTCCACCGGAGCTAGGTTAGGTTGTTGGGCCCATGTGGTAACCCCTTGAGGTATAAAAGGAGGTCCAGGCCTAATGGTGGAGGGGGGGACTTCTGAGCGAACTGGCGCTTGGGTCTCGCAACCCCAAGCACTTGTATTCTACATTCAATCAATCATGCACAGGAGTAGGGTATTACGCTTCTCAGTGGCCCAAACCTGTATAATCCTCTTTTGTCTCATCGTCTTGGAGGGGCCTAACCCCCTCAAGATCACACAGCTCCGCTTGCCAAGCACTCGAATCTCATCCGCTGCCCCCGGCCGAACTCACAAAGGGGAGTCTCACGGTTCCCTGGTGGTGGAGTTCATTCTCCGTCATTTACAAATTTGACCTTGTGGTTTTAGAGTTCATTGTATCGTTGGGTTTTATTTTTATAATTTTTAGAAGTCTCACCAAACGCCACCATGTACTCCTCTACGGCCCGCCCGCTGCCTCTCATTTTTATTATCGTTGAGATTTGAATATCGAACATAATTATCATTGAGGTTTTTTTGTTACTTTCTAGAAATCCCGCCAATCATCGAGACCGTGCTGCTTAACGAACTGCTCGTCGTCCCTCCTCTTAATTATCATTAAAATTCTATTTTGAGATTTTGTTTATAGTTTTTATATGTTCCATCTACCTACGCCACTCTATTTTCTTATGGGTCTATTGTTTCTCTCATATGTATTATAACTAGCATGGTGGCTCGCGTAGATTACGCGGCTAGCATCATTATATTTTCTCTCATATAATAGCATATATGTTTTCTTAATTTATTATTAAAATATATTAAAATAACAACGTAATTTTAAATTTTGTACTAACTTTACGAAACTACTAATGCGTACTATTCATATTCATATTGTATTTTATATACGTGTTAATTATTAATTATTTTTAATATTATATATATATATATACACACACACACACATACAAATAACTAAAATTTGATATTAAAAATAATTAATAAATAACACGTATATAAAATACAATGTGAATATCACACATTAGTAGTTTCGTAAAGTTAGTATAAACTTTAAAATTATGTTGTCATTTTAATATATTTGAATAATATATTGAGAAAACATATATGCTATTATATGAGAGATACTATAATGATGCTAGCCGCGCAATCTGCGCGGGCCACCATGCTAGTTTGATATATTAAATGTAGACTAATAACAAAACAAATTACAGATTCCGCTTGTAAACTGCGAGATAAATTTATTAAGTCTAATTATTCATCATTAGCAAATGTTTACTGTAGCAACACATTGTCAAATCATGGAGTAATTAGGCTGAAAAGATTCGTCTCGTAATTTACATGCAAATTGTGCAATTGGTTTTTTTCCTACAATTAATACTTTATGCATGTGTCCAAACATTTGATGTGATGGATTTTTTAAAGTTTGAAGGGAATTAAACACATCCTTAGTTTTAAGTTACGAAGCCCACTTCTTTCATATGTGGCAGCGCGTTTTGCTTTTGTCGACTAAATCTACCATATAATTCACCAACTCATTTTACTTATCATTCACTCCTACTCTTACATTCATCACTCAACGGTTCAGATCGTCCGTGTAAAATCGAACGATGGAGATCGATCCAACCTCCCCCCTCCCGGAATCGCTGATTCCACCTCCCACCTCCTGAATCGCGCACGCCCCACTATCTCTCTTGCTCTCCCAGATCCACGTCTCCTCTCCGCCCCTAACCACGCCGCTGCCCTAATCGCCGCCTGCCGCATGCCGCCGCCTTAGATCCTCCGTCGTCAAGGGCGCCGGCTCGCCGTGGTCTCCATTGCCGCCCTCATCTCTCCCCTGTCGCCGCCTACTGTGAGTCCTCGACGAAGGTGAAGCGGTGGCGCGGTGATCTCCGGTGAAATCGACGCGCAACGCCGCAATTCGTTTCTGACTGAGGTGGCGCAGTGGCTGGAGCGAAAGGCGCCTCGCCGGCATGACGTGGACTGCAGCGGATCTTCGGCAACATCACAGCGCCATTGCTCCATCTTCCATCGGCAATTGTGCTCCTCGTTGGCAAGTGGCGGCTTGAACAGTAGCATGGCGCTCCCCGGCGACCGATCTGTGTGGCAGCTCTAACGATCTTTGTGCTCCCCTGTTGTGCTGCTAATCTCCATTGAGATCAGGTCAAATTTCCCCAATTTTGTTGTTTCCAATTAGAGAGTTTCTGTAGATATGTTTCCAATTATAGCGTCGTCTTTTGCTCATATATCATTTTTGTTTAGCGAAAATATATGATGAAAATTTGTATGTGTGGTAACAGAAAAAAAAATTGCAATCATAAAATCATATATATAGTCTGGTTCTGAACAAATTACATATCAGGTTAATTCATGTGGATCATTTGGTTAATTCAGACAAAAAAATTGCTGTACATAATTGTTCAAAGAAACCTTTTTTTAAGACAAATATGAGCTCATTTTTAGAAGAAAAAAATCCATTCCTCTACTTCAAACAGTGATCACTCCAAGTGCACATTCTATCGACCATATTATGATTTAATGAGATGCTTATAGCCCTTCTGGTGTAAATGCAGTCAATAGTAGGGAATCTCTCCTATGTGGTCAAGGGTGCTGGCTTGCTGGGGTCTCCGTCACCCTGACATCAGGTTGCCGTCGATCCATCGCCTTCATATTTTGTTGGGTAAGAAACAAATCAACGATTCTTCAACAATTTGAGTTTGCAGTAGATGGAGTGTTATATCGACTGAAATATTATTTTTTATTCTTTTGTTTGTAACCTCAAGCTTCCCAGATTGCCAATTCCTGTCCTAGATTGTTGGTAGTTTGTCTACTGAGGATTCTGTACTGGAAAACATGTCAGGGCAGTGTGGCGTTGTGCTGTCTGTGAATACATGTTTCTTTGAGAGGGAGGAGCATGAGAGAGAACGCCAGATTTTTTTGGCATTCTCAACTAGAATGAGAAATATGAATACACTGTTCGAATTTTGGAAGATGTGAATCTGCCAAGATGTTTGCCAAGCTCTACATACACCATTTGTTTGCTAAGGTGTTTTCAGTAAAATTCCTTTGGGCAACTGTGACAATGGTAAATCAAGAAAATGATGGTAATTTACCAAGTGCTTTTCTACCAAATTACATCAAACATTGTATATATTTTCATGGGCCATATTGGAAATGTTGTTTTATGGCTAATATTAGCATTCTTATTTTTTAGATCCGATAAATTTCAGGTTGCAACTTACAAGGATCGGTTTTGGTAGGACCACCAAGTTGCCTAGGATTTTCGGGTAAGGATTATTTGTTGTTCTGATGCGGATCATGGAAATCGTGTGAAAAATTATCCAGATTCTGGTCTTGAATTATACTTGCCAAAACTGACAAGATTATATGAATATCTATAAAAATAACTCTACTGTTTCTTTTTGTGTGGACATATATTGTATATTGAAGTGATAATATATAATTGTCGATGGTCATGGATTATTATTTTCATATAGTAATAATATCAGGTATGCTGATTTAGAAAGCTTTTGGTCTAGAATATTCTGATTTTCTCTCTTTCTAAGGCCAAGCTATGGTATTTTTTATTCACCTAAGTTGCAAATTGTAATGAGTTTTATTTCTATACATCCAAATGAAAATAATACTTCCTCCGTTGAAGCAAGCATGTGATATAGAGATTGTATCAAGCAGCCAAAATATCATGTGCTCGTCATGGAAGGCGGTCGGAGTCGGAGAAAAGAAGTGGACCAGTTAATATAACATCTCTAGGCATTTTGCTTTTTAGTTGTTGTTTGCTAGCATAATTACTTTTTGTATTTTGTTGTTTTCTAGATGTTTCGAAATTTTGATGAACGATTTCGGTCGCGACTTATTTGCGAATATGATTATGTATTATTTGTTACATATATATATGCTTGAAAAACATGACTACGTGCATTACCAAATGTTACCGTAGCGTTAGCACGGGCATGCTACTAGTATGGATAGGTTCTGAAGAATAATCTACACTATAGTTTAACAAATATTTTTACTCATTCATCATGTGACACATCCAACTATCCAAATTCATCTATGGGGTAAGATCCGATGGCTCCGCACCTCCCTCTGATCGCGCCTCTCTCTCCCGCATCCCCTCTCCCCTCCTCTCTCTCTCTCGCAGTCTCGCGCTGTCGCGCACGGTACACCCGGAAATCCTCACTCATCCCTTCAATCACGCGCTCCTCCCGCACGCCGCATTCATGCCTTCGCCGGTTCGCCCTTGCGTTGCATCCCTCCCCGTCGCCTCGTTGTCCCACCCCCATGCTAGGAACCGCGCCTCACCGCCGAACCCCATGATTCGCCGTCGCCGCAGATCCGCCACGCGCGCCAGAAACTGCCTCGGAGCCTCATCGGCTGCCGCACCGACCCCACTCCTCCATTCCTCCGCCGCGGTCGACGAATTATGAACTACTATAATTACGAGGACAGCCGACGGTGGGGTCGCCTCGTCGCATGGCCCGCACCCCCCACCGTCGGCTGCGCCACCAACGCCGGTCTGCGACGCGCCCGCTCCGCGATGACCCCACTCCTTTGCCGCGCTCGGCGCCTTCCTCGTCGCACGGCGCGCCCAACCGTCAGCTGCACCGTGAACGCTTGTCCGCCACGCCGCCGGTATCCCCATCTCGGATCCCCACTGCGAACGCCTGTCCTCTCCGGACGTCGTCGACTACTTCTAGCATCCGCCGCAATCGGCTTCGCCCCTGCCGCACAGGGCTGAGCCCTCGTTCGCCACTGCTCGATTTCTCCTCTCCCACGCGGCTCCTCCATCGTCGTCGCATCCCGTCACGTCGATCCGGCGGCGGCGTAGGTGGAGTGGCGGCTCAGGGAGCGGTCGGCACGGCGATATGCTGCTCCCGTCGATCCGGCGGCAGCGCAGGAAGCGGTCGGCGGAGGGAGCGGTGTCTTGCCAATATCTCAGGTGCCACCTGACTACCCTCAAGCACCGCTGCCGCCACGCCACGGGTGGACAGGTACTTCTCCGCCTCGCCGGCGCCACCGTCTACCACGCCTCCGCTGTTCGTCGCATCGGCTGGCACATGGAGGTAGTGGACACTGCTGCTGGTGTTGCCATTATATCTTGTAATCTACCCTCGATTTTTTTTTTTTTGCTTTTTTACACTTGTGCCTGCCCCAATTCAGTTGGTGATGTACTGTTAAAGATTGCCTTGAAATGCTATTACATCACAAATTTGAGAAGTGAGGTGACTTGTACTTACATGCAGGAGCTGAAGCCAAATCCTAGCTGCCGCTTCAGTTAGCATCAACGCTATTGTATTTCTTCCAAGATGATCCCGGAGCTCAATGCTAAGGTGAGCGTTAATGTCATTTACCAGATCTCATGTTGGGCTATGCTTGTACTATCATATTTGCTAATGGTTTCTTGATAAGCTAGCAGGCGGCTGCAGGAGGTGATGTGGGAGGCAGTTAAGCAAAGAAAGAATGTGTTCAGAAGCTGCTCAATCTGAAAATGGAGGTATGATCGATTTATTCAGCAGTCATCTTTGATGTCCCTGACTTTTTCTCTGATCATGGATTAGTGAATTGCATTATTGGTAATTCAGGAAAGAAATCTTCAAGAAGACTTGGGAGTGTGGTAGGTTGCAGGTGAAGAACCACATGTTGGCGAATGAGCTTGCACTGTTGAATGTGTATGTTTGTGCATCCAACCTGAAAGATGCAAATTCTTGCCTATGATAAGTGGAATGCATTTAGTTGTTTTTTGTCCGTTGGATTGACATATATGAACATTCAGCAGTAGTAAGAGATCCTTAAGTTGACCACTTGATAAATATATATGTGAACTGTTAGAATGTTGCATACTAAATAATTACACCAAATTGTTCCCCCTGCTGAAACTAGATGAGCACTATCTGAATGTTGCCTTTTTATATGTGATATTTCTCTAAAACTGAATGTGAATCCTTTATTGCAGAATTATGTCAGTCCCATTTTACAAAGCTTAGATTTAATATGATCCAAACTGAAACTCGATTCACCTCAGTTGCAAATTGTGACGAGTTTTATTGTATACACATCCAAATGAAAAAAAATTTACTCCCGCTGTTCCAGTTTAGAGGGTGTACGAGTATTTTGCCGCTGTCCTGCAATACACGGCACACATTTGGATTAACAACTCTTTTCATATTTATACAATTTGTGTTTTATTTGAGGGATAGTGATCAGGTGATTATATTGGCCTTTATTTATTGTTCATGCAAGCACTGCAGATAAGAGGAAGCTATAATGTAATTATTACTAGCTGAAATGGTAATGTACGCTCAGCTAACATTGTTCAAATTATCCCATCAATTTTAAGTGCATAGAAAGCAATTCAATCCTGATAATCATCATGGGTATTCATCTGTTTATTTACATGCGCAGCAGGGACATAAGGACATGTATCAATCATCAATCTGCGATGTAATAATATAGATTATTTATCATGTCATTCAATTGCTTAACAAAAATCTGTGTATGTACTTATCACAGGAGATATAGTAGTGAGTGATCAACAATGTACTTGTTCTCAGAGTAACTTTGGATTGTTATCTCTAACACAGAATATCATTTTGCTGATAATAACGGCATTCTGTATGCTTGATTTCCTACGAGGCAACCCTGTTGACTTGTTGTATGATATTCTGTTAGCAATAGTTTTTTACTAGCCCAAAAGTCAAGAACGACTTATTATGTAAAACTGAATCGTTTCTAGCTTTGTTTTTCAGTGCTAAACACGGTGATTAATGTGATCCACAACTTTGGGCACGTTGCAATGTAATATACTCCCTCTGTTTCATATTGTTTCATATTGTTTGACTTTTTTTTCTTAATTATGATTCTTAAAGTTTGATCAAGTTTGGAGAAAAATATACTAACATTTTCGATACAAAGCGAACATATTATCAAAATATATTCAATATTAAATTTAATGAAACTAATTTGGTGTTGTAAATGTTGCTAATTTTTCACTAAACTTAAATAAGCCTAAAGAATTTTGACTAAGAAAAAAGCTAAACGACTTATAATATGACTATAACTAACAACTAATCAGTATGGCAATCTTGCTAAAAAAATTCATAATAGCAACCCTGAAGTAAATTAACTGTATATTTTTTAATCAAATGATTTTTTTTTCTTTTAAACATGGGTTCTACTATATATTGCCGTAGCGTTAGCACGGGCAAATTACTAATCTATTCTTGGTATGATTTATTTATGGTGTTAATACATAGGAGGCTTGGTATCAACCATAGTGAGCAGCGAGGACCGGAATTACACTGTGAGTTCGCTGGTTCTGTTCCCATTCAGCACACAGTGAGCACGAAAAACGGAGCGATCCATTAGTGTGTGATTAATTAAGTATTAGCTAATTTTTTTTAAAAATAGATTAATTTGATTTTTTTAAGCAGCTTTCGTATAGAAACTTTTTTAAAAAAACACATCGTTTATCAGTTTGAAAAGCGTGTGCGTGGAAAACAAGGAAGAAGGGTTGGGAAAAGGGATATCCGTGCACATATGAGTAGAAACACATATGGCAAACGGATGCTATGTGAAATTATTGATGTGATGGGTTCATAAGTTGATTTCAGTTTCTAACTTTCTATGAGCACACAAAATCATGAAGAAAATATTTAGAGAAATGAAAATAGAAGAGTAGAAGAAATCCATTTGTCAATTCAAAAGGGAATTTGTGCTGCGTGGGCTACTGGTTCGTAAAACCGTGAAATTTTTACTGTACGTCACGCATGCCACAGTTGACAAGCTGCATGTATGGCTTGTTTTCCGTAGGCCCATCTGGCCTAGGTAAGGAATTAGGAAAAAGTACACCGAACGTCCCTCAACTTTGTCGTCGAGTTACATCCCTCAACTAACAAAGACCGGTCATAATAGGTTTTTGGTAGTTTTGACCTCGGTGGTTTTATTCCACGTGATGCTAAGTCAGCATGGGACCACATGTCAGGCTGTCACCTCAGCCAATTCTCTCTCTTTTCCCCTTCTCTCCCCCCTTCATCTCTATCCCTTCTCTCACTCAGCCGGCGGGAGGAGGAGGGCGTCGGCGGACGGACGCGGCGGCGGTGATGGCGGCAACGGGCGACGCGGCGGCGGTGGGGGGAGGGGCGGCGCGCGGGCGGCGGGGGGAGGAGCAGCGCGCGGGCTCCCCCGCCGGCCGCCGCCCACGAGTCCGAGGGAGAGGAGCGGCGCCCGACGGAGTGTAGTTGGGCGGCCCCTTAGTCCCCGCCCCCGCCGCCAACGTGGCGCTCCCCTTCCCGTCCCGGTCTCCCCTGCCGCCCTCGATTCGCTCCCCTCCCCTTCCCCCGCCGACCGCCGCTCCCATCCCCACCCCCGCCGCCGCCGCTCTGAAACGAGCCGGTGTTCCTGAGGATGAAATGGCTAACCTAAAAAGGCAACTAGCGCCAGGACCTTCCACAGCTCCACCAGCTCCAAGCACTGCTACTGCTCCTGCTAACCGGATGATGAACTTTGTCAGTGCTGGAGTGCAGGCATAGGCTGAGAGCAGCAGCAGGCAACAACAGGCTGCTGCTGCTAACAATGAGGATATCGAGCTGCCTGATGAGAGCGACGAGGAGGAAGACGATGACCAAATTGCGAAGAAGAGTGTTCCCGCTGCGGTGTTTGGAGAGCTTGGCAACAGAGCTGCAGAGAACAGGGAGGAGGAAAGCTCTGGTGCCCAGGAGAATGGGCAGCTTGGCGCCCTTGAGAGGATCAAGCGAAGGCGTCAATGATCTGCCACTGTCAAGATGCCCACAGAGCTGGTGCCCTTGTAACAACTTGTAAACATGATTTTGAGTGGTGTTTTTGCTCTTGTACAAGAATTTACGGGAGTTATTAATCCGTTATTGATCTGCGACCATTTTTTCGTGTACTAACTATTGGGTACATTCCCCGCTTTTTATTCTCTCTTCTAGGCTAGAAGGCAATCATGCATTATTCAATTCTTTTTCATTTTTGCGAGGAAACATTATTTGATTTCGAGAGTGTACACTGCTACTGGAGTGTTGAAACCTGAAAAATGGAACTAGGAGACTTCATTTCTGTTACTGTCTCATGTGGTTTAGCCTTTCATTTGCAAAGTTATTGGTTGAGCTACGGTTTTATAAACCGAGTAATATAATGATGGTGATATGTAAACAAAACTAGAAATTTCGTTAACTCGGATTATTCGAAGTGAACCAAAATAGTGTATTCCTTTGATCACAAAATAACCATCACAAAACTGTCAGAAATTTTGAACATATATTTGCAATTTGAGCTCTGAAGGTAATGAATAGTGGAAAAGAAAACATGTAGTGAAGAAGGCCAGAATAGAGGAAAGCATGTACAATTTGATCACAAGGTCTCTCATTCGTCGATGGGCCGGAACACCTCGAGCGACTCGCGCAGCAGTTCGTCGCCAATGGTGCTCACCACCTTAGCCGCGCCGATGGCCACCGGAAACGTGAAGCCGCCGGAGCTCACGACCTGAGCCGGAGCCGGGCTTCTTGCCGCGGTAAGCGCTTGCGGTGGCGGCGGCGACGACGCCAATGGCACCACCCATCTGGAGCTTAGTAGTAGCCACCGATGCGGCAGACTAGGCGTGGCCGGAGAGCAGCCCGGAGCGGCTGGTCCAGCTCGCCTCCGACGAGCACGCCACGGTGCGCCCGTTCTGGCTAGCCGCGTCCACGGCCATCTCCTGCCGCGGCTGCCTCTTGTCACACTCCTTCTTGACGACGTCGTCCTGCGTGTCGTTGACGGCGCCGCCTCCTCCCTCTCCCCAGCGTTGGCGTCGGCTTGGCGGTGGTGGCGAGGCGGGAGGACCGTGTCGGCGTCGGCGCTGGGAGCTAGAGCGGCAGGAGGCAGGGACAAACTGCGTTGCACTCCAGCTCCAGCCCCGGCCCCGCCCGCCGCCGAACCCGATCCCCTGCTGCTTCTGCTGCGTTGTCGGCGGCGGCGTGAGGATCGTCGACGGCAGCTGCATGGCGAGACGTGGCCCCACCGCCATCGGCATCCCCCGCGTCGAGCCCAGCGGCGCGCGGTGGAGGAAACCACCGCCAGCGACTCCGCTCAGCGGCCGGAAAGAGGCGAAGAAGAAGGCGGCGGCAACGAGGACGGCGGCGTTGCCTCCCCGGCCGCCGGACCCCCCGCGCCGCGTGGCGGCTTCGTCCCCACTCGTCGGTCGCCCTGCCGCTTGCCCTGAGAAGAGAGAGAGGATGGGAAATAAGAGAGAGATGATGACATGGCATCTTACATGTGGGGTCCACACGCTGACTCAGCCGTCATGTCGGATAAAACCGGGGTCAAAACCACTGAAGGACCTCAAGCAAACGGTTTTCTTAGTTGAGAGACGACCGGTATCCAGTATCTGATTTTATGGTTGGAGGATGATTTTATAACTTGATGACAAGTTGAGGACCTTAGGTGTACTTTTTCCAAGGAATTACCTTAGGAGACATCCAGGTGGTGGCAATGGGCAGAAGGCCCATCCGACCTAGGAAGAAGCGGAATTTTTTTTATTTTTAGATTTTTTTTAATATTTACAGAAATAATCTATCGGTCAAAAAAATTATAAAAATAGATCCTGCTGTCCACCACTTGGGCGGCAAGCTGACGTGGCAAACGGGGGAGGGACAGGCGGTGACGGAGGGAGGGTTTTTTGCAGGAAAACCCTTGCCGCCCTCTGTTGGGGCGGCAAGGGGTCCCAATGCAAAAAAGCCAGCCGGGACCGGCCATTTTCCAGGCGGCCCCTTGCCGCTCTCTGGTCGGGCGGCAGGCCTCGCTGCCTATAAAAGGCATGCCGCCCAGCCCCTAGCCCTCATTCCTCCCCCCACAAATCTAGTAAAAAAAAGAAGAAAGGGGAGGAGAAGAGAAGAAGGGGCGAAGCCCTGCCGGATTCACACGCCAATTTCAGGTAATATTCATTGATCCTATATGTGACT